GTGTCCACTCCACAAAGGCGGCGAATTCAGCTCGAGGGCCATCTTTGGACGACGGCGCTCTGCACGCGGTGTTGAGGCTGGCATCATAGAGCGTGTCGTCCGGGTAGGTGGTGAGATGGGCAATAGCCAGAAACAGTCTGGTATGACCCTCGAGCGAATTTTCCCCCTGCTCCAGCAGGAGGAGGATGAATTCGGGGCGAAGGAGGGGATCCATACGGGCACACAACGGAAACAAAAAACACTGAGAGAAAAAACACGGAAACAAAACGGAGGGGAGACATGGAGGTAACTGTATTTTGGTCCGAGATTCTGTCACACTTAGCCTATGGCGCGGAGCGAGGAACGAGGAGAACAGGAGTACACGAACAACAATAGTCTTTTAATTCAAAATATCCAGGAAGTAACACTTGGCAGACGGGAACACAGGAAACACAGGGGTTGACGTTCAATCTCGTACAAGGACAGACAGCACAGACTCGAACTTAAATGCAAGGGATAATTAACAAACACAGGTGTACTGAATGACTAATTAACTGGGAAGCGGAACACATGGGGAAGAAACTGGGTCACAGAGCACAACTAACAGTCCAGGGGCGTGACAGCAATAACGAAATATAACAGAAAAATAATACAAAATAGGCAATAAAATTTAAATAAGACACAAAACAGTAATAAAAAACTAAATAAAGTATAAACAAACAAAAACAGCAAATGAACATCTGCGCAGGAAGTAACATTTGGCAGCTGGGAACACATGAAACACAGGGGTTGACGTTCAATCTCGGACAAGGACAGAGAGCACAGACTCGAACTTAAATGCAAGGGATCATTAACAAACACAGGTGTACTGAATGACTAATTAACTGGAAAGCGGAACACATGGGGAAGAAACTGGGTCACAGAGCACAACAAACAGTCCAGGGGCGTGACAGTAAGTCATGACAAAACGTTTTATTTTTCTTTAGGGCAAAATATAATCATTTCTTTTTTGGGGTTGAAATATAGACATGTTTCTGTGAGATTCTCGCTCTACAAAACGACAGCACATTTTGAGATAAGCTGTTGTTACAATAATCCTGCGCTACACAAAAGGGCCGTGGAGGCGTGACAGTGAGGCAGAGAGCCGTGGCTGTTATCTGACCCAGCATTATGTCTTCAGCCTGAGAGCAGAGCGCTGCATTACTGTGAAACTCAAACCTCGCTGTCACACACTGAGATGCAGCAGGAGGGTAAATTCTGCAGCATTTCTCAGGTGTGTGTTCAAGCAACCAGCAGGGAAGAGGCTTATCCTACGCTACGGTACTTTCTTCAAGTAAAGCATCATGCGTATCCAGCTAGAGCTTTGGATTTCTTCACACCAGAAAGACTGTGAGACAGTGTATTTACTTTCCTTATGAATAAAGATTTAAAGGAATAGTTCATCCATAAATGAAGATGTGCTAAAAATGTGCTCATCCTCAGGCCATCCAAGATGTAGGTGAGTTTGTTTCTTCATCAGGTTTGTAGAAATGTAGCATTGCATCAGTGTCTCAGCATGCTCTGCAGTGAATGGGTGCCGTCAGAATGAGAGTCCAAACAGCTGATAAAAACATCACAATAATCCACAAGTAATCCACAGCACTCCAGTCCATCAGTTAACATCTGGAGAAGACAAAAGCTGAAACAGATCCAGCATTAAGACGTTTTTAACTCAAATACGAGTCCATAATCTATAATAACGCTTCCTCCAGTGAAAAAGTGCATCTGCTGTCGTCTCTCGCATTAAAATCCAGCCGCATATTTGTTTAGAGCTGTTTAAACGCTGCTTGATCTGTGCAGATTTCTCTCCTGATTCACACCAGAGCACTTTTTCACTGGAGGAAGCGTTATTATGGATTATAGACTCTATGGTATTTTAGTTAAAAACGTCTTAATGCTGGATTTGTTTTAGCTTTTGTCTTCTCCAGATGTTAACTGATGGACTGGAATGTTGTGGATTACTTGTGGATTATTGTGATGTTTTTATCAGCTGTTTGGACTCTCATTCTGACGGCACCCATTCACTGTAGAGCATCCATTGCTGAGACACTGATGCAGTGACACATTTCTCCAAATCTGATGAAGAAACAAACTCATCCTAATCTCGGATGCCCTCAGGATGAGCACATTTTCAGCACTGCTCGTATCTCACACAAGTGGTTTGAGCTCATAACATACTAGCTATAATAAACAGCTGCCACTTTACTGAAATTAATGAAACTATCAAGACCTCTACTGATGAATAATCCGTGCATGTGTATTGAATAAATATAGAGTGAATCCAGGTACACTTAATGCCAGAAAACAGCATAGTTCTGCCTGAAATGAAGCAGAAAGTAGAAAGAGTGGCTGATTAATATCTCAGAATGTGCTGGATGGTTTATTGTGGCACCTGTAGAGATTGTTCAGCGCACAGCACACGGAGCTCAGACAGAGATCTGCCATCAGACGCTGCTGGAGCTGAAGCTCGGATCAGCTCATACGCTTTCCTCACATACTCAGCATCTGACAACAAGACGGGGAAAAATACACAAACATGACATTTAATATGGGAAAAATTAGCTGAGAACATACCTCAATCTGCCTTTATCATACAGACTCTTGTTGTAATATCACAAGAAATGTGAAACATTACAAAAACACCATTTCTAAATAAATAATTCACTAACGTTAGGTGTTTAAAATCAATAAAACACTGCTAGAGAAAACAAGCATTTGTGTTCTTTGTCTTTCTCCATGTGACAACTAGCCTAGTACGGCTTAAAGATTAAATGTTACAACGGCTTTCCATAGTCCAGACTTAAAACGTACTGTAAATATTAAAGGTTTAATATCACTTTTGAAATGTTTAAGGGCATTATTTTAACTAAATGTAACATATGCATGGATTAAAAATAACTATACATTTCAAAAAGGTGCGTCCATACCGCTTCTTTAACCTGTCATTTCTTTCAAATGTCTAACACTTTAATACATTTTTTGCTTATTTATAATAAAATAAATAAACGCAGAATATGCATTTTCCCTTTCAGTTCATCATCCATCCCTGAAAAAAAATAATCAATGTCAAATGTCCCTTGATGTTTATATACTTACAGTATGATTTAAACTTTTTTATAAATATTAAACATTATCATAATTTTAAAGCATTATTTTAACTAAATATAACTAATAATATATAAATAAAAACAATATATAACAATATATATAACTTTAACAAAAACTGAGTACAAATTTAAAAAGTTGCAAATCAGCTTCTTCTTTTCATTTTTTAAATGTTTGACATTTGAAAGAAATGTTTTTATATAATAACAAATAAAAATGCAGCATGTTATGTTCATCATCCATCCCTAGAAGAAAAAAGTTTTAATCACAGTTTTATTCTCAAACATTTATCTTCAATGTGCTTCAAAGACTTCGATTAACTGTGAGATTTACAGTAGTGCATCTGAGGTGAAAGTATATGTGCTGAAAGCTAAAATTAGCTCCGAACATCACTCTTGATTTAGTAGTTTTTAATTTGCCAATACATGATCTGACATCAATCTGAATTTAGTCAATTACAGCGAGCTCTTTTGTTCTCAGCTGGTTGTACATTGGTTTGCAGTTGCACATCTAATGGCTCTTTGGGGATGAAGTCTCAGCGTGAAGCGTGTTTTGTTAATTCAGTAATTCAGTGTTTGACAGGCCTCTGTTCAGCAGCTGAGAAATCATCACTCCTGGAGAAGAGACTCAGAAACACTCTCTCATGTCAAACACTGAGTGGACAGAGAGACAAGCAGACAAACCGCTTCTGTTTGTTATCGCATCAGGTTTAGGGAATAGTTCAGGGGTTCAGATATCAAGAGATAACGAATAGAAGAGAATAGAACAGTCAGAGCTACAGTATTGCACATTATTTCTACTTAAACTCTTACCTCTGTTGCCAGGCTAATCATTCTTAACCCTGCAAGTCTCATATATGATATAATAGTAAGAAAAAAAATCTGAAATGAAACAGTTTTCACACGTTCACCTGAAACCAATCACAAACACTATATAACACCCACTCAGATCCTGTTCAAACTGCCGAGTATTGTTTAAGCCAATGGTTCCCAACCCTGGTCCTGGAGGCACCCTAACACTGCACGTTTTGAATGTATCCTTAATCAAACTCACCTGATTCAGGTCATCAGCTCATTAGTAGAGGCTCCAAGACCTGAAATTGGTGTGTCAGAGAAAGGAGACATGAAAAATGTGCAGTGTTGGGGTGCCTCCAGGACCAGGGTTGGGAACCACTGGTTTAAGCGTTTATGCTGTTTAGCGTAGCTACTTTACGGAGCCAATTCTGTCTGAGTTTTCCATAGTCTAGTCATAGTCTTGCCTGTTTTCTCGTGTTCTGATTCTTGCCTGTGTATCCTGGATTACCCCTCTCGTCTCGCCCTGTTCGGATACGTTGGGGTGCCTCCAGGACCAGGGTTGGGAACCACTGGTTTAAGCGTTTATGCTGTTTAGCGTAGCTACTTTACGGAGCCAATTCTGTCTGAGTTTTCCATAGTCTAGTCATAGTCTTGCCTGTTTTCTCGTGTTCTGATTCTTGCCTGTGCATCCTGGATTACCCCTCTTGTCTCGCCCTGTTCGGATACTGATTACCCCTCGCCTGGACCATCGCCTGTGTTTGTATTAACCCTTTGGATTTCCCTGTTTGGACATTGCTCGCCGGAGATCGACCTCGCCCGTTTGCTGGACTATTCTTGTGTCTTGCCCTCAATAAACCTGTTGCCATTGTTTGACCCTCGCCTGCTTCTGACCACGCCTTTGAATAAAAGCTTTGCAAATGGATCTGCACGTCTCTCGTCCCTGTCACCTCGTTACAGATACAGTGAGATTATGGAGAAAAAAAACAGCTAAATTTTATTCAGAGACTCAAACGGAGCAAAAGTATGAATTTGCTGCAGATGCTGATATTTCTATGATGAAATTCTGCTGCTTGTGATATAAATCAATGAGATGTTTATAACAGTGCAGCAGATACCGACATAAAATGATCTAAATATCAGTGGTCACTATATCTCCAATAATATGTCTTAGTAAAATGAGATTAAAAAATGATCCAAACATATAATGCAATGCAATCCGATGCTGATTGAGAGCTGAAGAAATAAAGGCTCCTCAGAAGATGTGAGATGTTCTGGAGGCTTGTGAAGATCATTCCTCCACTGAGGAACAGTGAAAGTAAAGCTTCTTCAAACAAACGCTCCTCAAAAGATCCTGAGGATCAGATTTGAGACACACTGATTTTTCTAGAAAAGCTGCATCAGTCCAGTGAGTGTTCTGCTGGAAATATTACTAACAACATTTTTTTTTCTTATGTGCACAGAAAAAGGCAATACAGCCAATTAATTGCAGAAGGAGAAAATATGGGTTAAATGCATCTGGAATCAAGTCTGTTTCTGACATAGACAGTCACTGTTGGGAAATGAAATATTCTATAAACTGCCAGTGTTTGTGTGAGTTTTGTATGGGTAATGGTTCTTTAAACTCTCTATAAAATTTGGCAACCCTTTCGAATCAAGCTGGCGATCACAGATATTATATTATATCGCACACTTCAGTCTGTCATCACTATATTACATCAGACGAGTCTTTGTCAACCTAAACCTAAACATATTTTCTGCTATCTGTATAAAACAATTTGTCTTTTACAAATAGAAGTACAGCGAATTCATGACAATGTTTTACATTTGTCACTGGTTGCTACCGCGAGGCGCACGGAGCGAGGAGACCAGGAGTACAAAAGGGCGGTTAATTCTTTTTTTTAGGGACTCACACGTAGCACAAGGAGTTGACAAACAATTCCAGACAAAGAAACTCAGAACAGGCTAGAACTAAATAGGGCAGATAACGAGGGGTAGACAGGTGAGGAGGATAACTAATAATGAGATACACCTGGAACAAATCAAACTACATTGGGACAGGAACAGGAAGGACCAAATAAGGAAAACAGGAACTTCAACGGGAACATACACATGACAACATTAAGCTACCCATAAATGTTATAATGAAGAAGTTCTTAAAAAGCATCTAGTGAAGAAATGCTCTAAAGTAATTTTTTGAAGTTTTTTTCCCCAAGCTATTTTCAAAAACATCTGCTGCATGGATAAAAAGTAAATGTAAAAAAATCTGCTATACACATATCAGTCAAAATTGTGTTGAGAGAAAAAAAAATCATCAGCAAATCCTTTAAGTTTTACGGTATTCAGAACAGAGTAAAATACAAATCAGAAAATATAAGCAGCTATAAAATTATTAGTTATAAACAACATATAAACATCTAGAAAAAACAAAGATTTATTTAAAGAGAAATGCACCTACATCTCATTCTGCACAAATACAAATGTTTCCCACGAGAGGCTCCGGCGCAATCACTTGGATTTTTTTCCTTATTACAGTGGAAATGACTTGAAATGCTCTGTCATTTTGGTTATACAGATAAGAATAAGACATTAATAGAAAATGTAAAGGGTTTACTTTGAATGGGTATGTTAATGGGTCATAAAAACTTATCCATTCCAATTTAATTTAAATCTAATGTTTTTCTCAGTTAACGGTGAACGATTGGTTAACGAGTGTTGGGAGTCGGTCAGGAAAATTAACCAAAATGAACATCCCTAAATTTTAAGACCCCCATCACGCAGTCTGTGTTGATTGTGTGACTGTGACGTCTCTGTAGCGGCTCCTTATTCACCATCAGCTCATCCTGAGGAAACTGGACTGACGGCTAAATACTGAGAGTCCTACAATAAAACACACAGACAGACATATATGAGTACGAGACATTACTGCTGCCACATCACATCAGCAGAACCATTTCAGAAAAAACACAGTATATTCATATTACAGCCAGAGATATGAACGAACAACTGATCATAGATTAATAACAGTAAATGCTCAACAACTATATCACTTAGAGACTCTGTCAGAGATTAAAATATTCATATATTCTTCAATCATTCACATCACAGAATTAAACACATTTTAAAATACAGAAGACTAAAGTGTAGATGAATTATTGTCTTATATTCTCCAATCACACACACAGGAGGTCTGTTACTCAATTTAGAAACTTTAAATAAACACACACTCACAACAGTATAATGTCTCCAGTTTATAATGTGGATCCATCCTCAGATCAGAGAGTAACATCACTGAATCTCCTAGTTTATTCAATTACAGATTCAGTTCTCTCAGGTGTGAGGGGTTTGATCTCAGAGCTGAAGCCAGAGCAGCACAACCTTCATCTGTGACGCCACAATCCCTCAACCTGTAGAGAACAATGACACAATGTGAATTGTAGTTGAAGTGTCTGTAGTTCCCCTTCAGGAACTCGAGCTGCGTCGAACGTTTTGGGAACGCCCCCGGTGAGACACCGTACTGAAGCATGTGTGAAATCAGTCCAATAGAGAAGCGAGACGTCACGAGCGGGGTGACGTAAGCAGCCAAGAAGCATAAAGGCGCATCCGGCAAGCACGCATGTTTGCTTTTGCTCTTCAGCGAGCGCGTCTGTGGTGTGTGTGTTTGAATGTATGCAAAGCACTCAGTCAGTAAAAAAAAGTTAAGCGAGAAAAAAGAATGCCAAAGACTAAATCAAAAAAGAATGTGGCGAGCGGATGGTGTTTCAAGTCGTGTGTTCCTCCTTGCCCATGTTATATCTCGGGTGAGGATACACACGATTTGTGCGTCATCTGTTTGGGAGCGGAGCATGCACGGGCAGCTCTCGAGGGGGCTGCCTGCCATGATTGTGAGCTTCTCCCGCTCCTTGTGCTTCGCTCCCGCCTGGCTGTCTTCGATGAAAGCGGCCAGGCTCGCGATCCTGCTGGGTCCGGCCCCGCTGTTGCTGAGGCACAGCGGCGGCTGTTATCGTGGGGATCGCAAGTGGATTTAGCGGAGGGATCCGAGACGGGCTCGTCCTTATCTCGGTCCTCACCCGCTAGATCCACGGCCCCCTTTCAGGGTTCGGAAGCCCGCCCCGCAGTTTCTTTCCCCCCCGAGAGAGGGCCAGACGCTTCATCTATCTTCCTCCGAGGAGGTTGATGTGATGAGCGTCGACACGGAGGAGATTGTGGACTCGCCACCACAGTCCCTCGCATATGAGGAGCTCGTGGAGGTTGTTACTCGTGCTGTAGCTAAATTAAATATCGAATGGCCAGCCAAGAAACAGGACACTCGTCCCAAAAGCAAGTAGGACGAGCGTTTCCTTAGAGCAAGATCGCAACCTTCACGTTGGGGCTTTCCGTTTTTCCCCGCTCTCCATTCTGAGCTTTCGAGATCGTGGGATAAACCATATTCGTCCCGACTCTTTAGCCCCTCTGTTTCTTATTACTCGAACATCACGGGGCTAAATGAGAAGGGATATGGGGCGGTGCCGGCGGTGGAACAGACGCTCGCGAGCTATCTGTCCCCGTCCTCAGCATTGTCCCTGAAGGCCCTGAAGCTTCCCACCAGGCCAGTAAGACTAACATCCATCCTGGTTGGGAAACCATATACGGCGGCAGGTCAGGCTGGTGCATGTCTGCACACTATGGCGGTGTTGCAGGCATACCAGGCCGACCTGCTAAAAGACCTGGATGCTAGGGAGGGAGAGGCATCCGACACAGTCACCGAACTGCGTCGGGCCACAGATCTGTCGCTTCGGGCCACCAAGGAAACGGCCAGAGCCATCGGCCGTTCCATGGCAGCTCTCGTGGCCACGGAGCGACACCTGTGGTTGAATCTGTCCGAGTTACAAGATAAGGACAGATTCTTCCTGCTGGACGCCCCGCTATCGCCTTCTGGCCTCTTCGGCGGCGCAGAAGACACTGTAGTCGAGAGGTTTCAAGAGGCGAAGAAGCAAGCGGCGGCATTCCAGCGCTTCCTCCCTCGCCGGCCCCAGGTATTTGGGACTGCTGAGCGGGAGCAGTCCCAGCCGTCTAGCTCCTCATATCGCCAGACCCAGAAACAGAGCGTCGCGACCCGTACTCCCCCGCAGAAAGATCAAGGGGCGGGGCGGCGCTCTCGGCCGGGGCCTTCTAGACAGAAAACGGATCTGCGGACCGTTATTATGTCTAAGAAGACCTCGACCAAACGGCCCTGACAATTCCACCGTCAGGACCGCGAGGGCAACCCACCACGGGGTGGAGAGGTACACACCTCAGCACACGGTGCCCAATCCTCCTCAGTGCCCTCGGGAGACTTACTGCTGCCCCTGCCACCCTCGGTGCTTCAGGGCCCAGTAGGCTCCGGCGAGCAAAATTCCCTGCTGCCGCCCGGCGACGGTACAGCACGGGAAAGCTCGCCCCCTCAGATGAGGGCACTAGAGAGCATAGATCGGTTTTTCCCAGCCGGTCAACCGCTTCAGGGTACCGAAGTGGCTCTTCTAGTAACACCAGACGCCAGTCTCGAGAGACTGGTTCCCTTAGTAGATGTTCTGGCAGCGTGGAAACTTCTGCCGAATGTCTCACAATGGGTCCTGCAGACTGTAGAGAGAGGTTACAGAATTCAGTTCGGTTCTCGTCCACCTCGCTTCAACGGGGTTATTCCTACATTAGTGGGCCCCGAGCAGGCTCTGGTATTGGAACAAGAAGTAGAAACTCTTTTGAGGAAGGAGGCCATAGAACGTGTTCCTCCTCTCAAGAGACAATCAGGGTTCTACAGCCGGACACAGGAAGTTCCTGAGGTTTGCTTTTGGGGGCGAGGCATACCAATATCGAGTTCTTCCGTTCGGTCTATCACTCTCACCCCGCACTTTCACGAAGTGTGTGGATGCGGCGCTGGCTCCGCTGCGACTCCAGGGCATCAGCATACTGAATTACATTGACGATTGGTTGATTTTAGCTCAGTCAGAGCAGATGGCGGCTCGGCATCAAGATGTCGTCCTAGAACACTTCCTTCCAGACCTAAGGGGACATCATGTGACAACATGATCACAGACAACACATCGGTTGTCTCCTACATAAATCGGCAGGGGGGTCTACGCTCGCGCCCCCTTTACAGGCTGGTGCACCAGATCCTCCTGTGGGCTCAGGGAAAGTTCCTCTCACTCAGAGATTCCCTTCGGGGAACCATGGTTACATACGTAACCTCGAGACGTTTGTTATTGACTCTGGTCTCAGAGCAGGATAGGAGATACAATGACAAGCATTGCCACATACTGCTGCTGATGAGATTTATGCATGTTGATGCTCAATGCTGCTGTTTGAAACTGTCATGTGCTTCAGGACTGAACAGACACACAGAGCTGAATGTGAGATATTGTTTCATAGTGATATAAGGACGGATCTGTCAGAAACAGGGGTTGGAGCTAAACTCTGCAAGACTGTGGCCCTCCAGGATTGAGTTTACCTCTCCCTGATATAAGAGGAACATGAAACTGCTGATAGAGCAGCAAATAAATATATAAAATAAAAAATACTGCTTCTGGTTTTACAGGTGTTGAGGGTCTTTCCTTTTATCAATGATAATGCTGAATGCTGAAGTGATTATAACTTTCATTCACTCATTGATCACTGTAGTACTGAGTTAAAACTAAACATGTTCAGACTCTTGTCTATTTAACTCTAAACCTCTGGGATATTCATCCTACAGTAAGTCACAGAGGCTCTGGATTATTATTTTACATGTTATCTGAAAGTTATTTATTGATCAAACTATTATAAGCAAAGCATGTGATGTAATGGAAATGAATTAAATTAACTTAATCAGAGTCAATTCTGCTGAAATATAAGAGTGTCTGTTGAACATTGCTGATTTTATTCTTAGAATTGACATTAAAGGATGTTTTACTGAGGACAAAGACATGTGTGACTATCAGAGAGATCTTACCACAGTGTCTCCAGTTTACAGTGAGGATTCTGTAGTACATCAGATAGCAGCTTCACTGAATCTCCAAGTTCATTCCACGACAGATTCAGTTCTCTCAGGTGTGAGGGGTTTGATCTCAGAGCTGAAGCCAGAGCAGCACAACCTTCATCTGTGACGCCACAATCACTCAACCTGTAGAGAACAATGACACACTCTTCACTCTCTCAGATCAGATCAGTTTATCTGTGAATCCATTATTATTATAGCAGTCTGGTATGGGAACTGCTCAGTTGCTGACCGCAAGGCACTGCAGAGGGTGGTGAAAACCGCCCAACGCATCACAGGGACACCACTTCCTGCTATTGAGGACATCCAGAGGAAACGCTGTCTACGTCGAGCTCGCAGCATTCTTAAGGACTCCTTTCACCCTGACCATAGACTGTTTAACCTCCTGCCCTCCGGGAGGCGCTTCAGGAGCCTCCGGACAAGGACCAGCAGACTTAGGAACAGCTTTTTCCCTACAGTCTCCTTACTGAATTCTGCCCGCTGCTCATATTTTTCTGCTTATAGTGTACATACACTTATTACATAATCCATCTGTATAGTATGTTCATAGTACACCTATCTGTATATCATGCTGAAAGTATTTAAAAATCTGTAAATTATGTCCATAGTACTGTGTTTTATCTGTATATTTATTGTACATTTGTAACATATTGGAGACTCTGTATATCCTGTACTTACTGCTTATTGCACTTCTGGTTAGATGCTAACTGCATTTCGTTGCCTTGTACCTTACATGTGCAATGACAATAAAGTTGAATCTAATCTAATCTGAATCTAATCTAATTATTAACTGAGGTCTAAAATGTCACAGAACATAAAACATGTAAATTTAATATACAGTATTTAAAGGTGAAAGGTGAAAATCTTTTAACATTTTTAACATTGTTAACATTATAAAGCACCATAAAGTTTTGATGATTATTTAAGCTGTTGAATTCAAGTTAACAAACTCTTTTCTCCGCTGCTGCTGTCAGCCATCATTCAAACCCTGGTAGCATTCGGTTACTACAGTCAGCTCGGTAAAACCCTCTCAAAGATCCTTCAGTGTTCCCATTAATATACTTGATTTGTATATAAATGTCTATGGTTTTGCATAAAATGACTTTATCTCGCTGGAGTTTATTGTTGTTTCTAAATCATGTTACTTGATACCGGATGTCTGTTAGAACAAAACACAGGAGTAGATAAGTTTAAAGTGCACAGTAACTAGGGTGCAACGGATCGTAGATGATCCGTGATCCGTACAGACCAGGCCCCACGTTTCGGCACGCATGTGATTCGCGGATTAACTGTTAAGTTTAACCATCATAGAGTGAAAGTTTAACAATTGCACATGTTTTGTCTTGCCAGTTTACACATTCAAGCAGTTTTAACTCGCACGCTTTTTT